TATGAACTCCCAACTTTGTGGTTAGCAGTCTAGTGCTTATACTACAATGCCACTCTAAGACTCATTTTCATACACACTCATACATATATATGTATATATATGAAAGGTATTAAAAAAATTAGTGGAATAATACTTTAAAATCCATTTTCACAGACTTTTAAAAGCACCTCCCAGATATTATATATTGTTGCTAAGTGTCATTGAGTTACTTTCAACTCAGAATGACCCTGAATAGGTTTTCTGAGGAGCAGATGGTGGTTTGAACCGTGGACCTTGTGGTTCTCAGTCCAATGCTGATCCTACAGTGTCACAACAGGAGTCCTAAATATTATAACCTGTGTTCTGATCCAACTTTGCTTTACTGATTTCTGTTGCCAGGGCTTCCTGTCAATAAAATATGTGGTAAGAATATATGATCATTTCCAAGATCCAACAGAGATTTTATAAATCTTATTCTGAATTATGATCAAAATACAGCAAACTAAAGTGAAACTATAATTCTTCAACTTGTTAAAAGAATTTCTTGCAGAAACCTAACTATAATGATTGCCAAATTTAATTGTGAAAGAGCCCCATTAAATTCAATAACAAGACAAGGCAATCATCTATTACTGTGGTCGCAGTGTTAAGTGCTTGATTACCAGCTCAGAGGTTGGCGATTTGAATCTACACAGAGGCACTTCAGAGAAAAGACCAGGCAATCTGGTAGCACAGCAGTTATGAATCGGGCTGTGAACCGCAAGGTCAGCAGTTGGAAACTACCAGCTGTTCTGCGGGAGAAAGATGAGGCTTTCTGCTCCCATAAAGATTTACAGCCTCGGAAACCCTGTACAGGGTCGCTATGAGTTGGAACTGACTCCAGGCACATAACCACCAACCAATCTACTTCATAAAGGATCATGCTGTTATTTGTGTTAGTTTCAGTTGAGTCAGTTAAAATAATTTTGCATATGATATAATATCATATGATGTTACTTAATAAAGTCTGCTTTCTGTTGGATCACACTTCTTTGGATTGGGCACAAATTTGGATATCTTCTAGTTGCTTGGCCAGGTATTTCTCTTACAAATTGCTTGCCATTAATAAATAAGTGCTTTCAGCGTTGAACCCATTTGTTGAACAATCTCTATTGGCATTCTGTAAGTTCCCGGAGCCTTGATTTTCACCAGTGCCTTCAGTTCAGGTTGAACTTCTTTCTTCAGTACCACTGGTTCTTTGTCATACCCTACCTCATAAAATGGTTGAACATCAACCAGTTGTTTTTGGCAACGTTACTATGTAACACAACAGGATGAAACACTGCCTAGCACTGAGACATCCTAAGAACTTGTCATTTTGAGCTGAAACATTGCTGCCATTGTCACTCTATCTCACTGGGATTCTTCCTTTTTGTCGCTGACCCTCCTTGTCTGTCAGTTTGTCCTTCTGACACTTCCTGCATCTTTCAGGTTTTTTTCCCCATAGAATCCTTCAGTATTTCAATTAAATGTTTGATTCTTTATCTTTCTTCAATTCTTTCAGCTACAAATATGCAGAGTGTCCTCCTCACTTTTGGTTATCTAACTCCAGTTGTTTGCAAATGACTTCATAATACTATATAAAAAACATTTATAATATGTGTCATTATAATACTATATAAAGATTATAAATAATATAAAGAGGATAAATAAAGGTATATAAACATAAAAATGTGAAAACTCGTGAAGAATACTAAACTTCATTACAGAGAAACACTAACAAAAGTGAGATATAAAAGTTGAATTTTTGTTGTTGTTAGGTGCTATTGAGTTAGTTACAACTGATAGTGACCCTGTTCACAACAGAACAAAACACTGCCTTGTCATGCACCATCCTCACAATTGTTAACGCTTGCTCTTGCTATGTTTTTGGCTAATGTTCCACTTTACGAAGCATGGTGTCCTTTTAATTCATCGGTTCTTCTAAGGCCTTCTTATTAATTGTCCAACTTTCACATGCATATTGACTATTAGAAATACCATGGCTTGGATTAGGTGTACCTTAGTCCTCAAACTGACAATTTTGCTCTTGAACATTTTACAAGTGTTGTGTGCAGCAGATTTGCCTAATGCAATATGTCAATTGATTTCTTCATTGCTGCTTCCATGAGTATTGGT